AATTAATCCTGGTGTTGGATAATAATTTCACTTAGTGACTCATGCATTGAATTTTTTGTTTTCCCAGTGCGAAACAGCTTGGTTTCCAATAATTCTCTCGTTCTTGTCTCACAGCAAGAATCAGAATCACATTGTTGTGGGTGGGTAGGTTGCAGAGAATGGGTTATTTGTACCTCCACAGACTACAAGCCAAACATGGTCAGCACAATTGAATGAAATACTCTGCAAAGTAAGATGCAGCAATTTCTTCAGGCTACAGTAGTATATCTTTTATATAACAAATCAAAATACAGCTGTAGCTTGATTTGCAAAGTGACACTTGACATGGTTTGGTTTTTAATCTTTGATCAATAAATTCGATCAACAGCATTTATTAAATCAGAAGATTAAAAGTACAAGTACTTTTTGAATGTGCAGTTTCCCTTTCAACGATTACACAGCATATGCAATAAGAAAATTTTGTTATAGATTTGGATGATCAAATATGCACATTATCATAGAATATTTACTACATTTTTTCTTAAAGTTTTAAATTGACATATTGCTAGAGAGCTTTAAATGGGAAATTTCCTCAAGAAAGAATAATAAACCTCTTTAAAATTACTCACTTACATGTTGGCGATTTTTCCATCCAGAATTCCAAGTCCCGCTCATTGCAGGAGTAGGGTTCAAGGCCAAGACACAACCCTTTTTGTGTTGTCATATTTCAGGAGTTAAATTGTTTGAAGGCCCCAAAATCACTTTGATAATGATTGGAGAAGGGTAACAAAGCCTTAACCTATAAAAGTAGACGTTTGTGGATTGCACTTGGTTCTGTCACCGTATGCTAATAATAGGATAAATTGTGCCATTCCTATTTTTTGCATGCCTAACATTAATTCTTTGGGTAAAGAAAGGTAGTTTATTTAATATATAAGATGCTATTGATTTTTTTTTAGGCTTGATGTCACTGAAGGCATACAAGAGACACAGACTTAGATGGCTAGTAGATTTGCAGAAGTGATTACATAGCAGGATCAGTCAGATAGATGGGTGACTCTCAGGAAAGGCAAGAAGATAGTTCAGAAGTCTCTCGTGGTCATTCATTTCTCAAACAAATACTTCAGTACTGGGTACTAATGAGAGGGATTGTCTCTCAGAAGAAAATAGAAGAGGCAGTCAGATCTTGGGCACTAAGAATGAATCTTATGCTAGGCGGGGTTTGGCAAATTTTAAAAGAATAATTGTTATAGGGAACTCTCCTGTCATGGCCACAGGCAGGAGATTCTGCAGCAGTAAGCATGAATTTAGTTTAGTATGTTGCTTTCCTGGTACCAGGATTAAGGATGTCTCAAAACATTTGAAGCATATTTTTAAAGGGAGAGTGAGAAATCGTAAGTTATTGTATACATTGGTAGGAATGATGAAGTTAAGGAAAAGATTAAGGTTTTACAGAGTGAATATAAGAGTTTAGATAGAAGGTTAAAAAACAGAACCTCAAAAACTGGTTTACTCTTGGTGCCAAGCTTGAATGAGAGAAGGAATAAAAAGATAAATTAATGGCTGAAGATGTGGTATAATGTTCAGGGATTCAGGGTTTTGGATCATTAGGATCTCTTCTGGGGCAGGAAAGACCTGTTCAAAAAGGATGGGTTTCACCTGCACTGGAAAGAGACCAATATAGTCGCAGGAAGATTTGCTAAGCCTATCTCGAGAGACTGTAAACTTTAGAGAAGTGGGTTGGAGGGATCCTAAGGAGCAGAATAAATAGAAAGATAGACGAGGATTGTTCTGAATCTGAAAAGAATCAGTTATTTAAAATAGGCAGACAAGAGCAAGTCAGAGAACTCTGAAGAATTAAACAGCATTTATTTCAATGCAAGGTGTCTTACAGGTAAGGCTGGTGAACTCAGGGCATGTTTGGGAACATGGGATTGGGATATCAGCTGTTACAGAAACTTGGGTAAGAGATGAATAGGACTAACAGCTGCATTTCAGATCTTACAGGAAGGATAGTAATGGTGGCAAAACAGGAGGGGATTTTTGATTAAGGAAAGCTTTACCGCTGTAACTAGAGAAGACGGTTCTAAAAAATTGTCCAATTAAAATATATGGGTTGAAATTAGAAATAAGAAAGGAATGATCACCTGGATGGGATTGTATTAAAGGACCCCCAATTGTCAGAGGGTAATTGAAGAACAAATATGTAGAGACATCTCAGATACATGTAAGAATAACAAGGTTTTAATAGTAGGTGATTTTAATTTTCCAAACATTGGTTTGGAATAGTGAAGAATTTATTAAATGTGCTCAAGAAAATTTTCTTTATCAGTATGTCAGTGTTCCTACTAGAGAAGGAGCAAAGCTTGACCTTCTCTTGGGTAACAAGGTAGGGCAAGTGACTGATGTGATAGTAGGGGAACACTTTAGGTCTAATGATCATAATTCTATTAGCTTCAAAATAGTTATGGAAAAGGATCAGTCTTCCATAAACGTTAAAGCTTTTAATTGGAGTAAGGCGAATTTTAATTGGTATGAGACTAGAAGTTTCAGAAGTTGATTGGAGCAGACTATTCACAGGTAGAGGGAAGCTTTCAAAAGTGTGATAACGAGAGTTCAGATTTCCTGTTTGCGTGAAGAGCAAGGCTGGTAGGATTAGAGAACAATGGATGAATAAAGATATTGAGGTTCTAGTCAAGAATAAAAAAGAACGCCATATTAGATAGAGACAACTAGGTTAAAATAAATCTTCTGAACAGTATAAATACAGTACAGGCAATCTGGAGAGGGAGATGAGGAACGCAAAGAGGACATATGAGATAGCCTTGGCGGATAAGGTTAAGGATAATCCAAAGAGAGTCTGTGTGCACATTAAGTGCAACTAGAGAGAGAGTTGGGACCCTTAAAGATTAAAGAGGTCATCTTCGTGTTGAACCTCAGGAGATGGGAAAGATATTAAATCAATATTTTGAGTCAGTTTTTACTCTGGAGAAAGAAATGGAAGCTAGAGAACTCAGTGAGATAAATATTGATGTTTCGAAAGCAATTTGCATTACAGATGAGGAAGTGCTGGAGGTCTCAGAAAACATAAAGGTGGAAAAATCTCTGGGACCTGATCTAGTGCATCCCAGGACATTGTAGGAAGTTATGGAGGAAATTACAGGGCCCATTGCAGAAAAATTTGTGTCATCTTTAACTATGGGTGAGGTGTCAGATGACTGGAGACTGGCGAATGTTATGCCTTTGTTTAAGAAGGGAATGTAAGGAGATCTATAGATCTGTGAGTCTCACTTCGGTGGTGAGTAAGTTGTTAGAGGTGATTCTGAAAGATAGGATTTATATGCACTTGGACAGGCAAGGAATGTTAGGGATAGTAAGCATGGTTTTGTGCGAAGGAAATTGTATCTGACAAACTTGACTGAGTTCTTTTTGAAGAAGTAATTAAGAAGATTGATGAGGGCAGAACAGTAGATATTGTTTACTTGGACTTCAGTAAAGTCTTTGATAAGGATCTGCATGGTAGACTAATTCAAGTCTATAGGTGTGAGGCTGGAAAAGCACAGCAGGTCAGACAGCATCCGAGGAGCAGGAAAGTCAATGTTTCAGGCTGAAACCCTTCAATCTGGTCCTTGAAGCTTGCGCCACATGTAGAAATGAAGTTAAGAAAGCATTTAGCACGCTTGCCTCCATTGCTCAGACCATTAAAGCATAGGAGTTGGCATGTTATGCTGAAGTTGTACGGGACATTGGTGAGGTCTCTTCTGGAATACTGTGTGCCATTCTGGTCGCCCTGCTATGGGAAGGCTTTTATTAAATTGGTGAGGGTTCAGAAAACATTTACCAGGAATGTTGCCAGGAATGGAGGATTTGAGTTATAAGGAGAGGTTGGATAGGCTGGGACCATTTTTTACTGGAGCATAGGAGGTTAACGGGTGACCCTATAGAGATTTATAAAATCAGGAGGCGTGTCAATAAGGTGAATGGCAGGTGTCTTTTCGTTAGGATTGGGGATTTCAAGACTAGGAGACATATTTTTAAAGTGAGAGGAGAAAGATTTAAACAGGACAAGAGGGAAGACTTTGTAACCAGAGTGGTTCAGATGCATAATGAACTTCCAGAGGAAGTGGTGGATGTGGGTACAGTCACAATGTTTAAAAGGTGTTTGGATAAGGACATGAATAAGAAATGTTTGGAGGGATATGGTATAAGCGCAGGCAGGTGGAACTAGTTAAGTTTGGGATTGTGGTCAGCATGGGCTGGTTTGTCTGAAGGGTCTGTTTGTGTGCTGTATGACTCTATGATCCTATTAGTTTGGATTATTTTTGATGTTTGAGTACACACCGAGGTAGAAATTGAATCTAGTAGCAACTGTTTTCCAGCGTGAAATGGGAGAAGAAAGATCTATTCTAGCAACCAAAATGCATATGTTTTGATGTCATACGTCTAAAACATGTTAGTACTTTGCACTTAAAATCCAAAGTTTACTACACCAATTGGAGTAATATATAGACTGCATAATACGATTTAAGGCTCATTTTAATGCAGCGTAGAGACTTCCCTTTCCTATATTATGGTGAGAACTATCAGCAATAATTTGGAACAAATTCTTCGGGGTGACAGTTTCTTCCTCATGGAGCTATCAAAACAGGAAGCCAGATTTTGTTCTGTTAACTTGCCTCTTTGGCTTCAAAGACCCATCAATCAAAGGGACCTGTGCCTCAGACAGACTCCCAGATGGAAACTAACAGGTCACTTTGAGGTCAATCAACACTGGCAAATGTATCTGATGTGCGGATTACAATGATACCGCTGCCCCAGAAGACAATGAATTCTAGAAATCTCTCAAAAATATTTCAGTGAACTAACCTTTGTATTATATGATGAGATCAGCTCAGTGGGGCACAGGCACATGTGGTGCCCTATATTCTGTTTCACCAGTACTGCCATATTTGCCCTCTATATGTGTTTCAGTTATATTTGAATCCAAAACCTGAAACTTAAGGGCTCTCAAGTTCTACTACCTGTTATTCCTGAAGACACTCTGGATATTTCCAGTGAACGGGGTTTCTTTGTGACAGCCAGGAATTCATAAGGACTGTTCTCCTCTTCTGGAGGGAAACTGTCTAGGGATGGAGACAGCCTAATGTCCAGAGTCTGGTCATCTGCCTTTGTTTCTGATTCCTGCAAAATGGCACAAAAAGTTAATTCAACTATTTTTATTCAATTGTGTTGTACCACGACAAATAAACCATTTTGCTTTGTCAAAATAAGCGCTTTGTTATCTGAGGTATACGTGCACAGCTTTTTCCAAAATTTGCACTGTAAGCCAGATTTATTTCATTATTATTTACTGAATGCAATTTGTTGTGTTACAATGATTGCTGCTGCATTTTTGAAGCATTCTACAGCCCTTTGTCATCATACAAAATAATTCAGTGCCATTTGGCAATGACATGTACAGAAATTTTTAGAGAAATTATTAATTTCTACAGCACTGAATGATCCAGTTTCTAACCCCACTCAACGCTGAATCGCTAACTTTATAAATATGTGGCCCATTTACTATCTTCCAACACAGGCTTGATGATTGACTGCTCCAAAGCAGTGCAATGATTACACCTGCTTCAGCCTGTAAATGAATTTGGCCAAATCACAGGCTGTCAGTGATCTACAGATGTTACCAATTAAAAATCTATTCAACTCAATTTTCAACCTTTTGCCTTCTGTTGCGAAATTGGTCTCCTCAACAGCTGTTATATCACTATGTAAGCATAGTACAATTTGTCCAATTCTCTTTGTGGGTCTACTTAGAAAACCACTCTCTGAATTCTTGGCTATTTTTTGCATCAAGAGTTGCGACAGACCATTAAATTGAACAAAATATCCCTGTTGTTAAAATATTTAAGACATGTAGCTGTTCCAAGGTAAGTCCAGACCCAGGTGGCAATTCAACTCATCTTTCCACATCATTCACTGCATCTTGATTTACATTGCTTTTGCTTCCATTATCCTGCCTGAAAGGTCAATCCAATAGTAATCACTTCTTGCTTGAAAGAAAGTGTTGCCTGATATTAATCTTGAACTTGGCTTTTACCAGTTTGGACCTACGTCCCCTTACCAGCGGACAAAGGACACATGACAGTAATCCTCAATAGAGCCCAAGACATCGAGAAAGCTAGAGATAGTAGGAACTGCAGATGCTGGAGAATCCGAGACAACAAGGTGCAGGGCTGGATGAACACAGCAGGCCAAGCAGCATCATAGGAGCAGAGAGGCTGACGTTTCGGGCCTAGACCCTTCATCAGAAAAGGGGGAGGGGAAGGGGGTTTTGAAATAAATAGGGAGAGAGTGGGAGGCGGATAGAAGAGGGATAGAGGAGAGGATAGGTGGAGAGGAAACAAACAGGTCGAAGAGGCGGGCCAGTCCAGCTCGTCCCTGCCTCCCTAACCTGTTCTTCCTCCCACCTATCCCCTCCTCCCACCTCAAGCCGCACCTCCATCTCCTACCGACCAACCTCATCCCGCCCCCTTGACCTGTCCGTCCTCCCTGGACTGACCTATCCCCTTCCTAACTCCCTACCTACACTCACCTTTCCTGGCTCCATCCCCGCCTCTTCGACCTGTTTGTTTCCTCTCCACCTATCCTCTCCTCTATCCCTCTTCTATCCGCCTCCCACTCTCTCCCTATTTATTTCAAAACCCCCTTCCCCTCCCCCTTTTCTGATGAAGGGTCTAGGCCCGAAACGTCAGCCTCTCTGCTCCTATGATGCTGCTTGGCCTGCTGTGTTCATCCAGCCCTGCACCTTGTTGCATCGAGAAAGCTAACACACTACTAGCAGATACCAAAATCTACCAACGGATGGCGATAGACCCGACACCACAGTTATGGTACTAGATTACAACGACCCTGAAGAAATTACGCAACTCAGGAGACCATCAGCAAGACAGACTACCATAAAATGAAGCCAGAAGCATCCAACATACACTGATTCTACAGACTCCCCGAGGTACACAAACCTGGAGACCCCCCTCAGACCCATTGTCTCACTACCAGGAACACTAACATATAGACCCGCCAAAGAACAACAACAGAAATTGAAACATTTAGTGGACAACAGTACCCACTCTATCCACTCATCCCAAGAATTCCTCAACATCAAAGACACCAGGATAGAAGAGGATGAGATGACGATATCCTTCAACGTAACAGCACTATTTAAATCCATAAACATTGACCTAGCCATAGAAACAATTACCACACTACTGGGCGAATTAAGTGGGCAGACAACCCACGACACCAACAACATTCATAAGGACACCACCATGAAACTACTAGATCTGTGCCTCACAACCCACTTCACCTGCAACATTGGCATATACAAACAAATCAACAGAAAACCAATGGGATCCCCAATATCAGGACTAATTGCAGAAGTGGTAATGCAAAGATTAGAATGGACAGCGCTCCCCACTATACAGCCCAAACTCTGGGTCCGATATGTAACAGACCCCTAGGTATAGAGTAGCCCACAAACCAACAACCACATTACGACAAGCCACTGACAAACGTAATGGATCCCATACCAAAACCAGCAAAACCGGTGTAATATACAAAATACCATACAAGGACTGTGAGAAACACTACGTAGGCCAAACCAGAAGAAAACTGACAATACGGATACTTGAACACCAACTAGTCACCAAGAGACATGATCAATTCTCATTTGTCTCACTACACACAAACAACAAGGGACGCATATTCGACTGGGCCAACACATTCATAATTGCACAAGAGAAACAGAAACACGCCAGGGATTCCTGGAGGCTTGTTATTCCAACTGGAACTCCACCAACAAACGCATTGAGAATTAGACCCTGTGTTGAAGCCACTGAGAAACAGAACCGGAAGCAATACCAACTACCCCAGCAAACCAACGTATATAAATAACAAGCGGGACAGAACACCAACGTTTCACTGGAGGCGCATTGACAATGTTACCTAGCAGGGCGACATTTGCAACCAAACCCACCGGCTCGGCGAGCAAGTCTACAACCTCATTCACAAACTGAGCTACAAATCCTCTCAAAAACTTTATCTACGTCCCCTTGTTGAAAAGTTCTGGTTTAACAGCTGGGTTGTTGGGGGGGAGGGGAATTGTTCAGGGTGAACCCTTCCTATTCTAGTTATCTTACAAACCTTTATCCAACTTCTTTCACGTCCTTTCAAGACTGGAAAGCTCCTGTCATTCAAACCTTTTCTCATCACTCAGTCCGCTGGCACCAGGGTTAAGAATCCTGGATCCTCTGGACATTACTTCTAGTATTTAGGTTTTTCCATTGTGACTCGAACTGAATATATATTAAACTACACTATTTTTATGTCATGTTAAATATCAGTTCCACTTACAAGCAGTTTACATTCTTATTGATTAGACAATGGCTAACGTTGAATCAAGTATTACTGTCAATCTCATTGCAGTAGATTATTTATTATAAAACATAAAGTGCTTCAGAAACTCAGGATGTCTGGCAGCACATGTACAGAGAGAAACAGAGTTAGTATTTTTGAGTCAGTAAGGGGGAGGCAATGGCCTCGTGGAATTATCACTGGACTGTTAATACAGAAACCCAGGTAATATTCTGATGACCCAGGTTTCGATCCTGCCATGGCAGATAGTAGAATTTGAATTCAATTTTTAAAAATCTGGAATTAAGAATCTAATGATGATTTTAAATCCATTGCTGATTGCTGGAAAAACCCATCTGCTTCACTAATGTCTTTTAGGGAAGGAAGCTGCCATCCTTGCCTGGTCTGGCCTACATGTGACTCCAGACCTACAGCAACATGGTTGACTCTTAACTGCCCTCTGAGCAATTAGGGATAGGCAATAAATGCTGGCCTAATCAGCAATGCCCTTATCCCATGAATGATTTTTTAAAAAAGTCCAATATGATTCTTCAATGAAACTCATCCTTTCATTATTTGCGAATTTCTTTCCTTTTAATGTGCAAGACCTTAAATATAGTACAAAAACTGATCCCATCAACCACAAGGGGGAAAATCAACAGCGAAATATTGAACTTTTAAAATCATTTAGAGAAAGTAATGGATTTTTTTCATATAAATATGTTAGATACTGCATGCTGCTTCCAGTTTCGCTAGTCTCGTTAACAGGTTGCAATGATGTTTATGAAACAATAAACCACATTTTTTGCCTAATAACATGACAACACACTACTCCTATAAACTGAGCTTCAATAAACTGGCATTATTGGATTTGGAATAAGATTTTTCTGAGATCTACACTTCTCAATGCCGCAGGAAGACAGCCACCATCAGCAAAGACCCCTTCCATCCCGGTTATAATATCTTCCAACCTCTTCCATCAGGAAGAACATACAAAAGCTTAAACACACATACCAACAGATTCAAGAACAGCTTCTTTCCTGCTGATATTAGATTTCTGAATGGACCTCTCAAATTTCAAATCTAATGTTGATCTTGCTTTTCATGCACCTTCTTTGAACAGAGCGACGAATACAAAGTTATAGCTGCAATCACCCTATGATCTTTGTATGTTATGATCTGCCTGTACTGCTTGCAAAATAAAACTTTTCACTGTACTTAGGCACACGTGAAAGAATAAATCAAATCAAAAGTCAGGAAAACTGTGCAATGGAATATCAGAAAATGATCAAACAGAAGCCTGGTGCTTAATCACAGGGGCAAGTGATAGAAATGAAACTCACCCAGTCTCCTCGAGAAAACAGATCACACTCCTGTTCTCTCAACTATAGCTAACATGTGACTCCATACAGTCAGAAAACACAGACAGGGCTCAAGGAAGTACAAAATCTGAGAACTCAAAACATATAAACCCCACCAAAACTAAATATCATGGATAACAGACTCATTCCACCTCCAGACCTGTGAAAGACTTGCCTTTCTTTTCATAAAGGAGAAAAGAATCTGGGTTTGTTTTGTAAGTAAAATTGTGACGTCACTGGAATTTCAGCTCTACAGAACAAAAAGGCTGATTCAGTCCTAACCCATTGCAATGATCTTACAGGGAGATAGAAATCTTCATTCTGTGCTTACTACACTGCCAGAAAAACAACAGATGGAATGAGAAATTTCCCTCTGTCTGTGCCCAGATGCTCTGGATCACCTGGGCATAGTGA